CTGTTCTCCCGCCGTTCCCTAGCTTGTCTTGCATTCTTTCCAAAAATTGGGACTTTTTAAAATGCTGCAGGATGCGGGACAAATTGTTAAAAATCAGGACTGTCTCGCCAGAAGCGGGACGTCTGGTCACCTTACTATAGGGCAAATCCATCAGGGTAACTGCAGACTTCTCAAATGAAACTTTTCAAACCAGAAAACAATGGTTGCCTACGTTTAATCTACTTAAACAAAATTATTTCAGCCCAGAATTCTATATCTTTGTAAGCTAAGCTATAAAATTGATGGAGAAATCAAATCATTTACTGATATACAGACACTGAGGAAGTTTTACCACAAGGTGAGCTCTACAGGACATACTCAGACCTATGCTACACACTGATCATCACAATGGATCATCAGCAAACTAAACAGCCAGAAGCTAAAGGACAAAACCTAGCTTCCACAATGATGCAAAAGATAAAACTAAGCAATTCACTTTCACAAAATAAGATAACTAGAACTCCACCACACTTATTAATTATCTCAATAAATGAGAATGGTTTGAATTCCCCACTGAAGTGGCATAGGCTGGCTGATTAAATAAAAAGCACAAGCCATCCAATTTGCTGCCTGCAGGAAACACACCTAGCCTCAAAGGATGAATTAAAACTCAGGGTTAATAAATGTAAAACTGTTTTTCAGACAAATGGAAATCAAAAGAAAAGAGGGTTGCAATCTTATTTTCAGGTACAAGTGGGTTTAAAGTAACTAAAGTAAAAAAAAGAAAAAGATGGATACTTCATATTGGTCAAGGGAACAATACAATAAGAAGACATTTCAATTCTAAATACTTATGCACACAACTTAAATGCTCCCAGAGTCTTGAAACAGACCTTAATTAGTCTGAGAAATATGATATCCCATAACACCATAAAGCAGAGATCTTCAATACTCCTTTTACAGAGCTAGATGGATCCTCTAAACAGAAACTAAACAAAGATACGAGAGACTTAAATGTGACCCCTGAACAAGTATGCTTGATAGTCATTTCTAGAGCACTTCATCCAAAGCTAAAGAATATACATTCTTCTCATTGGCCCATGAAACATTCTAAAAAAAAGTATTATATCTTAGGACTCAAAACCTCAACAAAATGAAAATAATTGAACTTTTACCATGAATCTTCTCAGACTACAAGGCAATAAAAGTGAAACTCAACTCCAACAAAAATTATCACCCCCACACAAAGATTTGGAAATCTCTTTCCAATAGTGGGGCAGGGCAATTGTGCTTTATTTCATAACACTTTCAGTACTAAGTGGATGTCTATACCACTGCATAGCTACCTTACTGAGAATGAATAGGGCATTTCAAAATCACTTTTGTATAAAATTGGTATTTTACTTTAGTATATCACTTTGATCACCATTAAGTATGTAGATTTTTTTTCCATTTCCTTCCATATTTATTATTTGTGTGGTCTTTGAAACACGCTTGTTCTTATCCCTTTGCCCATTTTTGTATTGAAGTATAATTTTATTGGAATGATAAGTATTAAACATGCACACACATCTATGTATATATGTTGAAATCACTTGACATGTTAATTGTCCTTTAATAGTTTACATTTATAATATGTTTAAATGATTCAAATGTGTACAAAGAAAAAAATACATAATTTTACCATTAAAAGGAAACCATTCTCATAAACTTTTTCATTCTATTTCCAAAGAGGTAAGTAATAATATCAATTACATAATCTTCCAATATATGAGTGATTCTTGGTGTCCACAATTTGATAACAAACTGCTTATAAAATACTTGGGTGTGTTTCTGAAATGGGTATGTCTGGAGTTTACATTGGCTGTTACTGTTTAGATGATTCTAGTTTTTTAACAGAGTCCAGCATATGCTTTGCCATATATGAGTCAGGCCCATCATCATTCCATGATGCTTTTTTCATAGATCATCTTGGTTTTTATTAATATCTAGATGAACTGGGAAGTTCACAACTTCATCACAAAAGTATTTTCCAGAATTATTTAAACGTACAAATTATTTTGGACAATTCATATATTCAGTGGTACCACTGTAAATGTCATTCATCTGTCCATTGTATATTGGGGTAGTTAGTAGGTATATATCAATTATCTTGATTTTTTTTCACTTGTTTTTTTCTGCCCAGAATCAAGTCTTGGGAACTCCTTAAAATTTTGTTACATTCACGCAAGTATCTTCCTGCTTTACTTTTCTTGTTCTTTTTCTGCTGAAAAGTAGGTGTAAAAAGAAAGAGAGAGAGAGAGAGAGAGAAGAGTAAGTGTATATGTGCTGCATGCCTCTACCCACCAGCTTTGTAACCCCAAACCCTCTGGATTTTGCCACTATTCTGCTGGAAAAGGCTTTGATACCTGGGCATACCTGTAAAAGGAATTCTGAATACTGCTACTCTCACTGTTGTCTCTTTCAACTTTTGACCAGTTACATTTTTGGAAAAATTGAAGAGTGAAATAACACAATAACTAAGAAAATGTGGTGAAGGCTATGTTAAACAGTTTGATGAAAATATTTCAAATGGTATATAAAACCAGCACATTGTACCCCATGATTGCATTAATGTACACAGATATGATTTAATTTAAAAAAACCTATGCCCTTACTTTGCTTCATTTTTAATTGTTTTCTTTTCTTAATCACTCTTTTGTCAAAATTTCTATGGCCTATAGCAACAAATTTGACCAAATATCTCAAGTATTCCAACAAGATACACACCTTCTAGACACACTGATATTTTTGCAAGGATCGTTATGTATGCTCTAGTCCTACAATTCTTCTTTGATTGCAGCAATAATCAGGTGTGTATGTGTGAGGCAATCTCATTCTGTTCCCAATAATATATCCAGCACCCACTGGGCTGAAGGGCGATAATATCAGGGGATGGGAATGAGGCATTAGATTCCTAACAGATTTATAAAATAACAACAAGATTATGTATTTCCTATAATAGCAGAGAGTATGCGCCATTCACAAATGAGCTAACTTAGGTCTTTTCACTACTAAAGCAAAAGGTATGAGGCTGCCACTGAAGTAAAGCCCCTGGGGCCAAATGTGAAATAGCCAGTTTTGAGCCTACTTGAAGGACAGAGGGCCCCAAATGGTCATTAATATTCATCATCACAGAGCTACGGCACACAGCCACTCCTTAGTCAGGTGACAGATGAAAGATTTACTCACTCATTTTCCACATCCTGGATGGTGTTAGAAAGAGGCAGGTTCCTGGTTTCTGGGAGACAAAGGACAACAAGTCCAGCAAGAATGGGGAAAACTCCATAGGTAATCCAGGGCAGGTGGGGAGAATATCTCACGAGGGTCATCAACAGAGGTGCCAGTACTGCTCCACTCATACTGAACATTGAAACAAATCCTCCAACTATTGACCTTAGGTTGAATATAAAAGCCAAAAAAATCTTCTATACTTCATTATATGCAAGTTCTTATTCATCATGTTTAGTCACTATCGGGGACTGTACAACACACTTATTTAATGCATGGGTTTTAACAACAAGCTCTTAATTGTGACATTTAAATCTATTGGGCTCTACTGCTTGATAGTATTATGTTGGTAACTGCTCTAACCCCATTTCATTATTATTGAAATATAGATACCCATAGCACCCATCCAGTGGTTGTTAAGATCAAAGGAGATGATACATTAAAAAAGTTGGGGCATATAGTGATTCTCTAACCCCTAAACAGTCTCCACTTTTTTCCACAGTAAATGTTAAAGTGTTCAGACCGTCCTGTTTTGAAACTAGACAGATAGCCTATAGCTCTTGTACCTGCATTTGGTGGGGATGAGCTCATTCTGATGGACAGTAGTGCTGGTAATAGCAGCAGAAAGAGCACCAGTTCCCAAAGTTGCTAAAGCCACACGCAGGGTCTGCATTTCTAGAGAGAGAAGACAATGAGAGTTGGGAAATCTCTGAAGAAATCTGTAAACCCCAAACTATTTGTAGAAAGATGCCATCGTAGGGCTCTACAAGTCTGAAATATGTGGAAAATAAAGTCCAGTGTGTCTAAGATTAGGGAATGGTGGATAACCTAAGAAATGCAGAGTGTAGAATTCTAGGACTTAAAAATTGAATTGGAGGAGCAAAATCAGTTGCTTCAACTCTCTGTGCACATTTGAGTATTATCAATAAGTTGGGAGTATGAGTCAGGAAACATTTGTTTTATTCATTCTGTGTAATACTTTCTCTGCACTTTCTACAGGGCATAGAGATAAATATGCTTTTTGAGGCACATGTGGAAACAAATCATAATATAGGACAGGACAGGTGTTTCACCTTATAGTACAAAAAGACTGAAGTGGATTTGGTAGTGAGCTGGGTGAAGAGAGAGAAGTTCTAGAGTAGTAAGTCAGGATTACAAAACTAGTATTAGTTCTATTTGAAAACAAATAGACCACTCAAGTTTCCATTAATGTTGTATAAGGACAACCCACTAATTTGGGAAAACAAATCTAAAAGAAGCTGTATCAGTTACTTAATATGATTCTTGTTTAGGGACATACTATAAAATAGATTACGAGACATATTAAGATGAGATTGTTCTCTTGTTCCTGCTATACACTTCCTTTCTGCTTGAGGACAAGAGATTTTTTTTTTTTCATAGAAGTCAAGAAGGCTGTCCAAAAGAATGTGTTACCTTTATGGTGATTTAATACCAAACTGAAAAGTGAAAATATGGGAATGAGTATTGGACAAGTTAGGGAGGCCTTAAAAACTGCAAAAAGTCCAGAGAGAAGAGTTGATATTATCATGTTTCCACTCTGAAATACAATCATAGTGCCTAGCTCCTAATGGTTGTTGGTAAAATGGTGAGTATCTGAAATGTATGTGGTCATTTATTCTTGTAATGAAATTGTTAGGCATAATGGGAGCTGATGTCTAGATTTACCTTAGATGAAGTTAACCCTGTGTAAACTCCCTTTTGCTGATGTTGGTTCAGGAAGAGCCCACATCCTGCCAACAACTTGTCAGAATCACTTTCATACCCTCATATTATGAAGGTATGGATCCTTCTGGCTTTCAATGGCATTGCCATTCTTTTGACACCAGGCAATAAGATCAATGTAATCCCTGAGGAAAGGTGGAAACCCATATTCCTTCCCCAAACTCCTGTCTCTCTCACCTTGGTCCAAAAAGGTGTTGACCAAAATGGAAAGTCCTACCGGGAACAGGAACAACATCTGGCTTGGTCGACGACCCACGTTATTCAGTATCCAAACGGCAAAAAATCTACCTATGAATGTGACAGCTCCGAAGAGAACTTGAAACAGGTAGACATTCCTCCCCAAGTGCTGCAAGTTGAGTATCAGGCCAAAGAAAGGTAGATTGCTTGCCAACCTAAAGTGAATAAAAGGAGTAAAGTCATATTCAATAAGATTTCAAAGATGTGGAAAAAGTAATTTCTACACTCTGTTTGAAACCAGAAAAGAGTCTGAATGCCCAAGGCATTTTTAACCAACTCTGTAGGCATCATCTTACCAGACTTCAACTAAACTACAAGGTTATGGTAATCAAAACGGCATTCTATTGGTACAAAAGTAGAGACAAAGAACAATAGAACAGGACAGAGAACTCAGATATAAAACCATTCACCTACAACCAACTCATCATCAACAAAGCAGAAAACAAGGCACATTGGGGGAAATGAAGCCCTATTCAATAAATGTGCTGAGAAAATTGGATAGCCACAGGCAGAAGAATGAAAGAGGACTCCTATTTCTCACTGCTCACAAAAATTAATTGAAGATTGATTAAAACTTAAATGTTTTCTTCAAGTGTTTTCCCTGTACTTTCTTCTAGTATTTTTATAGTTTAATGTCTTAAGTTTAAGTCTTTAATCCAGTAAAGAGTTTATCTTAGTTAATAGTGAAAGGTGTGGGTCCAGTTTCAGTCTTCTGCAGGTCACCAACCAGTTCATCCAGCACCATTTGTTAAATAGGGAATTTTTCCCCACTGAATGTTTTTAGTTGGCTTATTGAAGATCAAATAATGGTAAGTATCTGGGTTCATCTCTTGGTTCTCTATTCTGTTCCATACATCTATCTCTCTGTTTTTGTGCAGTACCATGCTGTTTTGATCACTATCAATTTATACTATAATGTGAGGTCTGGTAGCGTGATTCCTCCTGATTTGTTTTATTTCTGAGTAATGTCTTGACTCTGCAAGGTTTTTATCTGATCCTGTATAAAATGAAGCATTAAAGATCTCTTTGAGATCTTTAAAGTATGACAGTGGAGCTTTAATAGGGATTGCACTAAAATTGTATATTGCTTTGGGTAATTTGGACATTTTAACAATGTTGATTCTTCCCAGCCATGAGCATGGTATGTTTTTCCATTTGTTAACATCTTCAGCTATTTCTTTTCTTAGAGTTTCATAGTTCTCTTTATAGAGATCTTTCACATCTTTTGTTAGGTAAACTCCCAAATATTTCATCTTCTTTGGTACTACTGTGAAAGGAATAGAGTGAACAGAAAAAAAATAAATAAATAAAACTTAAATATGTTGTAAAACTATAAGAATTCTAGATGTGAATGTGGAAATACTCTAAAGAATTTAGGCATTAATGTACATAGTTACCATTCAATAAAAAAAAAGAATTTTAGACTAAGACCTCAATGGCAGCCACAACTACAACCAAAATAAACAAACAGGATTTGATTAAATTAAAAGGCTTCTGCACAGCTAAGTAATTAACAGAGAAAATAGAGAACCCACAGAATGGGAGAACCCACAGAATGGGAGAACCCACTTGATAAAGAATTGCAAAGGGGCTTGGCACCTGTAGCTCAGTGGCAAGGGCACCAGCCACATAAACCAGAGCTGGTGAGTTGGAATAAAAGTACACAGGAGAATTAAACTGGAGCTCAAACAAAACATTTCATATTTTGCCATGTATAATGTGCTCTCATGTATAATAGATACCCACAATCTAGGCTCAAAGCTTCTGGATAAAAAAAATCTTCTGTTTTAAGTTTTTAACTCAAATTTTCATTCGTTTATATTTAGGTACTAGTTTTTTGTATTATAAAGAAGTTTTAGCATTTTAAGATATTATGTTAATAATATAAAATACAGGAAATTTTAAGTAACAAATAATTACAAAACACAAGAACAGATACAAGGTACAAGAAATTGTATGTACCAGTAACACATTTACAATATCTATGCATCATAGAAGGTCAAGAGTTCTTGATCACTGTCAATATTTGAGGTATCATCTTCTTTAATTTCTACATTACCAGGGTCTTCCAAAAAGTCATTTTCCTCATCCCAGTAAATTTCATCATCTTCAGTTCCATGCATAGAATTGCTGATGCTACATTTTAAATTTTTTTTTTTTTGAGACGGAGCCTCAAGCTGTCCCCCTAGGTAGAGTGCTGTGATAACACAGCTCACAGCAACCTCCAACTCCTGGGCTCAAGCGAGTCTCCTGCCTCTGCCTCCCAAGTAGCTGGGACCACAGGTTCCCACCATAGTGCCTGGCTATTTTTTGGTTGCAGCCATCATTGTTGTTAGGCGGGCCCAGGCTGGATTCAAACCTGCCCCCTTAGGTGTATGTGGCTGGCGCCTTAGCCACTCGAGCCACAGGCGCCAAGCCCTGATGCTACATTTTTAAAATGATTCTACAGCTGCTTCCTTCTTGACACTGTGCCACAAAGTTAGGTTCCAGTTACAAAATGGGGCAATACATGCTTTCTTGATTCTACCTGTAGGTGTTAAATCATTACCAGCTGATTGCATCAAAGACATCCACTCTTTCTTCATTAAAGCCTAAAAGTGTTTTTTTACAGACATATCAAGAGGTTGCAGTTGGCTGATTATCCCAGTAGGGATCATAGCAATTTGGGTTTTCAAGACCTCTGCAATTGCTTTTGCACTTTGTGTAAATGGGCTTTGAAAAGATCCAAAAAAGCAAAGCTTGGCTTGGTGCCTGTGGCTCAAGCAGCCAAGGTGCTAGCTGGGGTAGCAGGTTCAAATCCAGCCTAGGCCTGCCAAACAATGATGGCTGCAACCAAAAAATAGCCAGGTGTTGTGGCAGGTGTCTGTAGTCCCAGCTACTTGGGAGGCAGAGGCAGAAGAATCACTTGAGCCCAAGGGATGGAGGTTGCTGTGAGCTGTGATGCCATGGTACTCTACCCAGGGTGACAGCTTGAGTCTCTGTCTCCAAAAAAAAAAAAGTTCATCTAAACAAAGCTTTTTTTTTTTTTTTTAGTAATCTTCCAGGCCTTCTTTTTTAAATTTATTGCATTTTATTTTATACTTTTATTTTTGGGTACAAATTATTATGTATTATGAGGGTACACATTATTAGGTCACAATGCCTTCATTTGTTAGGTAGTTGTGTCCTGAACTCAGGAGGTGTGCCATATAGCCTTATATTGTGCCCATTAGGGGAAAACACACCAATCCCCCTCCCATCTTTGTTCTCCCCCCCACCTCCTTGCAACTTGAACTAAGTTGAGTTTTTCTCTTGTGTGGGTGTATATTAGTTCATCTACTGGCTTCATATTAGTATTGAGTACATGGAATCTTCCAGGCCTTCTTGACCAGACTTTGTTAAACCAGATTATCATGCTTCATTCATCCATCCTTTTTCATGTACATGCAAAATAACTCCACTTGGAATCTTTTCTTTCATAAACATTCTTATTTTAAAGATGATCTTAGATGGTAGCTTTGTCCCATCTACATAACAGGCCAGAACAATAATTAAATGTTTTAGCAGCCATGGTCTTTGCTCCTTTAATGTTATCAGTTCTGTCGGATGACACATTAAACATGAGTGGGACATAATCCAGCTTGGTGATTTGGGACAGTGCAATGTTGTAAATCTTTTATAGATTGATAACATAAGAATGAAGTTCCAAAACTTGATTCTTCTAGGCTGCGGGAGTTTGGGAGCAAGTTTTGTTCATGTCCTCATCCTCAAACCTTCCTTCATAAAGTTAAATCACCAGTTATGGGCCCCTGAGAAATCATCAATGTTTTTTTCTTTTTCCTCATGTAACCCTTTTACCCTCTTTTTGTATCATCTTGGTCAAAACAGAGATCCCAGTTCAATGCTGCTCCAGAATCCAGGTCTTCGCCTCCTGCTCCACTGCCAGCCACTTTGAAGATTGCCCCTGTGTTACCTTCTTCTGCCTCGGCATCTGAAGAGACTTTCCTTCTCGTTGTCTCCACAATCTGATGACACTCTAAGTGCTAGGAAGTCTAAAGTGCTAGGAGGTCTCTCAGCAGCTTTGTTGTTATGCTCTTTAACATATTTAATAACTGTCAGTTTAAAGCTTGCAGTGTATAAAAACTGTTTTGACATTTTTCCAGGTATTTTCCAATAAGTTTTGTAAAACTGTCAGCTAGATTGCTAGCTCCTGCCTAAAGTGAATGAAAAGAAATATATTACCCTTCATAGGTCAAAATGCTTCTCTTGGAAGCTTATTGTAAGCTAAACAAAATGAATTACCATGTTCCAGGGTTATTATTTTGCATATAGGTATCATTCTTGCTTTCTGGAGATACACTTTTAATATATAAACATAAATAAATGAATCAAAAACTTTTATATGAATATAGAGTTAGTATTACCCATGTATAATGTGCATTCTTATTTTTCCATCAAAAATTTGGGAAAAAAGTCTGCATTATACACAGCAAAATTTGATAACTAAAATGTCCACAGGTATTTGGAAACTAATCAGAACTTTGTCATAAACTGATAAGTCAAACAAGACCCAAATTATAAGTTAGAAATTACTTTGAACTGATTTAGATTCAAGATATTGCGTCTCAGAACATACAGAAATGGGTACCTATATAAGATGGATATGTTAATTTGTTTTATGGTAATAATGATTTACCTATATATTTATCTCACAACATCATATTGTATAGCTTAAATATACATAATACAATGTCTTTAAACATATAGGATACAGGTTTGATAATGCTTGCTAACAGAGAATATTACAATTCCTTCATAGTTACGTATATTTCCAAGAAATTTGAAAGCTTGGGCAGAAAAGAATTAAGCTTCTTTGCCTGAAGGACACACAGACACACAACACACACTCCTATATACACTGAAACTCTAGTAAATTGAAGTAAAAGAAATAATAAAGACAAGAAATCAATGAAATATGAAGCATACAACAATGTATGTAAAGTTACCTCTTTGAAAAATTACAAAACTTTAGAAACTTCTAGCAAGACAGATCCTTAAAAATATGTAAACATTAGTTATCTATATCAGGATTAAGAAAAAAGGCTACTTTATATTTCACAATTATCTAAAGGATAGAAAGAGAATATTATGAATAATTTTATTCTAAAATCATTGGACAATTTAGAAGAAATGGCAAAGTCTTGAAAAACAACTTGTCAAAAACCAGATGAAAGTAGAAACTCTCACTAGTCTTTTGTCTAGTATAGATATTGAACATATAGTTAACAATTTTTTCAAATAAAATTTAGGCCTAAATTCATATGCTCATAAACAACCACAAATATTTAGGCAGAAATAGAAATAATTCAAAAGAAAAGAGAGTCCAAAAACTACATAGAGTTGCCTGGTTAATAACAAAACTGCCTCTGAAACTAAATAGGAAAACATGGCCTTTCTACTAAATGGTGATGAGGGAATTGACCATGCATCTGGAAAATATAAATTTTGACCCCAATCTGAAATTATATCCAAATATTAACTTGAAATGGATCATAGACAATGCAAATTTGATAGAGGAAAAAAGGGTTGAAGAGAAAACATGAAAGTATCTTTATAAATATGGATAGAAAAGATTTCTGAAACAGAATACCAAAAGTACCAGTCACAAAAGAAAAACTTGATTGATATATTTCACGAAAATTGAGAAATTTAGTTCATCAAAACACACAATCAGGGAGTGGAAAGGTAATCCACAGGTTGAGAAAGGACATTTAACACATATATCTAAATAAATAAATAAATAATCTAATAAAAATGGATAAAGTCTAGGCAAGATAGGAAAGTCTTCATTATCAGTGATTAAGAAAATGCAAATTTATATCACAATGTGCTAACATCTGTGTTCCTTGAAATAGCTAACTTAAAGTAATTTACAACAATTAATATTGTCACATATTAGTGCTATCTATTGGTATATAGAGATTGTACTAAAATGTGTCAATATGAAATGAAAAAGCTCTTATACTTGATGAAGGGAGTGTATAGTTGTATACTGACTTTGGAGTACTGTTTGGAAGGTTACATATGCTGTAAACCCAGGAACATATAACAGTGTCCTAGTGTGAAAATCCATGATTCATGAAGAGAACAATGGATAAATAACTTAGGGTATATTCATATAAAGGAAAATAACCTAAAATCAAAAAACAAAATTATATCTATGCAAAGCAATATTGGTGAATTTCCCATGTATAAAAGGTGTATGTATACCATGATTCAATTTATATGAAAGTCAGGAATAGTCTAATGTAAACTATGGGAATAGAGGAAAGAACAGTTGGTACTTTTGGGCAAGAATTAACTTGTCTGGGGGAAAGAGAGACATGAGATATGATTCAGGAATCCTGAAAGGTGCTTATCTGGGTAATGGTTACATGGTTTAATAAATCTGTAATTTATCTAGAAAAATTCACTTTGTGTATTTGTAATCAGGTCCTACCAAGTCTTCTGGTATTATTAGGCTATCTTAAAATGTGACACTTAAAGGCATACACTTTGCTTTTCTTTTATGTATTAATGAATTAACCCTCTACAATGCTGCTGCTAATTTTTTGGAAGAAGGAATGAACATGTGTTACTAATATTTTAAAATTAATCTTCACCAAATGGAGCTTACATTACAAAAGACAGGCAGATGAGTCTCATTCGCAGTTTTGGTGCACGGAACAAGGACCAAATTGATGCTTTGATCTGGGCTCTATCCAAATCCTTCTGCATGGTGGATCTCAGAAACTGCAACAACAAAATAACAAGCATTTATGAGATGTCAATAATATGCTAGGCTTAGTGCCACTTACAAGAGGATGAGCTAGACATATTGTCTCCTTTAGGAAATTTCTGTGTAGAGTGAAGGGCACCTTATTCAATGGCTCATAATTTCAGGCATCTGAAAGTCTGGCTTCCTCATTGCAAGGCAGAGAAATTCTGTTGGGCAATCCCAGGTTCAGAGTTTCCTGCCAGATCCTCTGGGACCTCTGTTTCAAAAGCGTGGCACTTTAATATTTTTCCCTTTTTTTCTTTTTTTTTCTTAGTCCAATCACATTTCTCATGCATGCAAACCTATGATTTCCCAGTTCCTGAGGAATTGCAGCTTCAACTATTGTTGCTGCCTGGGAGTAGAGAAAAATTTGATGTCACAATGAGAATTTGGAACTAGATTAGGTGATGAAAATCTCATAACTCATGCTTTTTTGAAGCATGCAGTTGTGATACAAGAATTAAAATTTCACTGGTGTTGAACAGAAATGGATTAATTATAGAAAATTATGTATTAGCTTATATAAGACCTCAGAATTTTGAAGGTTTCAAGAAAAATAATGATTTAAGGGACTTTGGAAGCCAATGGATATTATAAGGGGCCATCAATGCATTGAAGAAAGATAATGGAAGACTGATGGTGATTGACTATGAATATAAAGTGAATTGTGAAATCTAGAAGGTGCATACAGAGAAGTGTCTATGAAGAGATTCTCATCTCCCCCAGTTGAAAGGCAGAAAACTGAAGCTAAGGCCTAAGACTTAATTCTAATAGTACCTTTAAAAAAACTTGAAAATCTGAAGCTTGGCTGGTCTCCTTTGCCAAGTTCATGACTGTGACTGAGAGGAGGTAGGACTCATAATGGAATGCATGTATCTGACTCGATGCATTTGATCATTTTGAATCTCCACATTTCCTTGTATTACTTGTGTCAAATGAGTAGATCACTTCTCCCTGGTAAAAGCTAGTGCTCCTGCCTTGTTGAAAGATATTGCAGAGGTTTATCTATCACCATTGACCTTCTATCAGGCCTATAACTAGAGTAAAAAATATATATAATATATCTGGGGAAGTTTATTGTCAGGTAGGAAAGGGCCTGCATGCACAAAGAGCTCAAGTAGTAAGCTAATCCATGCTGGTAGGAAGGTAAACATGAGAATAGATTCTATGATTGAGGTGGACAAAATATAAAGTTGGATAAAGGAGAATATTTTATCAAATGAAAAACTGTTGGAAGTTTTGAAAAATAGCCAACAATTATCACCACCTCTGGGTATTCATACTTCTATAAGATCTCCTCTATTAAAATTTTCTTCTATAGGTCATTTGCTCTTTCTCAGTACTGATATGGATCATCTATGAGTTGTGCCAGTTCCTATAATGACTGAAATGCCTTTCCTCTCCCTTTTAACAGCTAACCCTTAATCCTTTTCTGGCTCATTAAAATTATAGTGGACACTTCTCTGTGTTCTCTCAAAAGTATGCTGTGTATAACCTTGTCATATCCCATAATCTGTATTATAATGGACATTTAATTTTTAAATTCTTTAGTAAAATGTACCCTCCTTGAGGGAAAAGTATCTGACTTATTCTCTTATTAATATCTATCCCCAGCCTGGCATATGGTAGGTGTATAAGTATTTTGAAATGAAGAAGAGAGACAGCTTAAATGAACCATGTCAGTATCTGACTTCCAATTATGTGGAGGGAAACTTCAAATAAAACTGAGAAGTTAGATGAGATTTCACCAAACACCCTCCCTCTGGGGTACATTTCAAAACAACTAAGAGTATATTATAACTGCCATACCACAAAAATAAGTAAGAGAGGTGATGGTTATCTTAATTAGTTTGATTTAAGCATTCCACATTGTATATCAAATCATTACATTGTATCCCATAAATGTATACAGTTATGATTTAATAAAAATTAAGTTAAAAATTGAGTTTTTCTACTCAGACACAATATTAGTACCCTCTAATGTAGACGATGTAAATGCCAAAAAAAAAAAAATCAATTTTCTGCCCTATCATGCCCATATTGTGTAGAACAGTATTTACTTATATTTTATTCTCAATAAATATTTAGTGAATGATTGAATCTTTGCATAAAATTAAGATCAACCTATAAAATCTATTTTACATGTGGTTAATTTCCATTTCTATTGTTGTCTTTCTCATTTTCCCTAGAAGGGACCAGGGTTAGTAAAATAGTGAGAAATGAATTGTGTGTTGATTTCTTTCTCCTACATGTCTAGGATAATAGAATTGAAATATGAAGGCCAAATTATTCTAACAATTGAATGTACTTTTACCCATGGATAAATGCACTTCTGCACAGAAATTATGTGAATTTCTGTAGTATCGATGTCTAAATCCTTGCAAAAGACAAAAGGAATGATTTTTTTTAAATTTCCTTTCCATCCCCAATGATAAATCAGTGGGGAACCAGGATAGCAATAGAAGGCCCCACTGAGAAAATTCTAATTCTGGAAGCATAGTTACCCCAGGAACCCAGACTACTGTTACTGTAAGTTCATGTTTCCTTTTTACACTTGTGACCAGCCTCCCTTTCCAAATCACCTCAATGGTCAAGATCTCTTCAGTATTCTTTTGTCCATTTATGGATGCGACTCTTCTAAGTTCCTTTAAGCCCTCATCTATCCGATTGTTGATAATCAGCCAGCGAGCAGACTCCACCATCCACCTGAGAAGAGAAGACAAGGTAGGTAGTAAATAATTGTTTGTCAAATAACCTTTAGCTCAAGTTTCTTTTCCTAAATCATTTAATACACACTTTAAAAATTGTAGGAGAGTCATTCCTAACCAAGTCACCCTCATACATTGGACTCCTACAGAGAAGTGTGTATCTGACCATCTGTGAATAATAAACATGTCATATGTCATTCATTTACATTCCTATTTTTTGTTACTAATATAAAATTTTTGTATCATAAAATTAACCTTCTTTAAAGAGTATAATTTAATAGTTCTAAAATAATCACAAAGTTCTTCAGACATCACCACTACCTAATCCTAGGACATTTTCATCACCCCAGAGAAATCCCCATAGCCTTCACTCTCATTGCTTCTTTACCCCAGCCCACAGTAACCACTTATCTATTTTCTGTCTTTATGAATTTTTCCATACTGAATACGTCATAGACATTGTATGATTCACAATGTTACCTCTCGTGGCATTCTATCAGGTCAGTATCACCTTGATAAAACTAGACAAAAAGACAATAAGAAATTATAAAACCATATCTTTTATGAACTTTAATGGAAAAGTCTATGATGTAAGCGTAACAAACCAATTCAGTGGCATTTTGAGGGGATCATACACCATACTCAGGTGGCATTCATTGCTGATTGTAATGATGTTTCAACATATGAAAATCCATCACCATAACACATCACATTTACATAATAAGTAAGAAACTGTACATGGTCATTTTCTTCAATGCAGAAAAAGTTAATTTAATATCTTTTTATAATGAGACACTCAAAAACCTATGAATACAAGGAAACTATCTCAGACTAACAAATATCATATTGGAGAAATCCATAGTGAACACCGTACTCAATGATTAAATACTGAAAGCTGTTACTCTAAGATCAACAACAAGTAAAGGATACCCACTTTCATTTCTATTCATCTTTGTACGGAAAGTTCTAGCCAGAGTGATCAGTTGAGGAAAAGAAAAGGTGTCTACTTTGAAAGGTGGAAGAATTATCTCCATTTGCAGATAATGTGTACTCATATGGGAGGAATTCTAAAGATTTTACCAAAAAACCATTACCACCAACAAATGTATTCAGTAGCAGGATACAAAACCATTGTACAAAAATCAGCTGCATTTCTACACACTTATATTGAGTAGTCTGAAAAGAAAAATAACAGCATGTGCAAGAATAAAATATTTATAAATTATCTTTTTTTATTAAATCATAGCAGTGTACATTAATACTATCATGGGGGTACAGTGTACTGTTTCTGTATACAATTTGAAATACTTTCATCCAACTGGTTAACATAGCCTTCATGTCTTTTTCTTAGTTATTGCGTTAAGACATTTATATTCTACAATTAGAGAGATTCACATGTACCCTTATAGGATGAACCATAGGCATGATCCCACCAATCACCCTCCCTCCACCTACCCTCCCCCCTCCTTTCCTTTCCCTCTCCCCTCTTCCCATATTCCTGGGCAAAAATTGGGTTATAGCTTTCCTATGAAAGCTATAAATTAGTTTCATAGGGTTGAGTACATTGGATACTTTTTCTTCCATTCTTGGGATACTTTGCTAAGAAGAATATTTTCCAGCTCAATCCATGTAAACATGAAGGAGGTAAAATTTCCATCTTTCTTAATGGTTGCATAGTATTCCATGGTGCACATACACCACAATTTATTGATCCATTCATGGACCAAAGGGCTCTTGGGCTTCTTCCATGACCTAACAATTATGAATTGGGCTGCAATGAACATTCTGGTACAAATACCTTTATTGTAGTGTAATTTTTGGTCTTCTGGATATATACCTAATAGAGGAATTATAGGATTGAATGGCAGGTCTATTTTTAGTTCTTGAAGTGTTCTCCAGATGTCTTTCCGAAAGGAACATTTTAGTTTGTAATACCACCAGCAGTGTAGAAATGTTCCCTTTTCTCCACAACCACGCCAGCATCTGTGATTTTGGGATATGGGCTAATCTTACTGGTGTTAGATGATATCTCAAAGTAGTTTTGATTTGCATTTCTCTGATGATTAAGGATGGTGAGCATTTTTTCATATGTTTGAAGGCCATG